AGGGAAAAAAAGCTTTTAATGCTCATTTTTGCATTTTGCTCTCTAGGTTGTGAAAAGCTTTCAAATGGGACAAAGCCCACACACTTCTCTTTTTATGGGTCTAGTGGTAGTAATTCTGTGTGTTTCATATTCTGGAAAATTTGTCCTTCAATTTTGATCTCTGAAGGGAGTCTGTTCATGCTGGTCTTTGCAGACATTTCTCATACACTGAATGAAAAATGGAGGATAAAAGGTGTATCAGAAATAAGGCACCCATTCTTTCATATGTATAACATCAAGAAAAGTTCTCAGGACCCAGAAACTGCCTACAAAACCAAGTTGATGAACCTACTACTCATATTAGTAATCCTACTGCTACCCACTTCTTAGTTCTAACCTGTTTTGCATTAAAAGCAAGTTACAGTAACTAAACCAAGTTACCGTTAGCGTTCATTACATTTTAATTATGAAGAGACAAATGTTGAGGTATGCTTAATTTTCAGGACTTCATATCTTTCTCTTTTTTTTTCCAGGAATGTGCTGAATTGGAGCAGGTTTACATAGCACACAAGAAACTAGGTGTGAGGGAGGGAAATATCTGTATCCAAAGAGAAAACAAATCCCTTCAACAGACTGAAACTCTGAAATACTTATATTCTGTGGGGTTTTTTTCCCATTTGCAAGGCCAATATAATTTTCCTGTATCGTCATCCTGCTGGTGGGCAAGAAGCTGAGTTTCACTTGCAGGCGCTTCTGTTTGACATTTCTACCCCCTCTTCCCCAGAGGCTGTAAGAAACTCTGGGTGACAAACACTTCCCAAACATCTGTACACTCCATGTTGTATATGGTGTGGAGCCAGCCCCCAGCAGCTGCTGCTGCCATCTTCCTACAGGAGCAGTGTGTAGAAGCAGCAGCTGAACATATATCTTCTTACACATCATCTAGCAGACAGAAAGGAGTTAGTGCCATAGACCGAGGCAGAAGGCACAGAGAATGCAGCTCCCTCCTTGTAACACTTAATAATAGGATATCTAGATTACAAATAACACAGCTAACCAACCTATTACACACTGGACCAGCATCTGGAAAGCTGCCTCTCATAACTTGGATATTAAAGGACATCCACTGGCTTTTAGGCTGCCAAGACCATCACCCTGTAGTTGTTATTTTTTAATGAGAAAAAAAGTCAGCCACACTCTGAATGTCTTCCTAACACTTGGAATCACTTCATATGAGGTGGTCGTCAACATTACAATTTTCAAGGCAGAAGGATAATTATATTTCTGTAAAACACCAGCTTTGATGGTTGACTGCACTCTTTTCTGACATTGTAAAAGTTATACAAGCAGTTCTCACTAATATTAGTAGAAACTGGGTGCATAGCTTGAGGACAGATTATAGTCTTTGTCTTGTAGGACACGAAAATAATTGAGACTCTTTTGTCAGGACCTGAGCTTTTCTTTGAGTGTTAATGTATTTTGGCAAGACACGTCAAAAGTATATCTTGTATGAAAGACATTCATCTGAAATGTTAGATAGGAACATACAAAATGCACAAGCCACCAAGCAATTCATATGACTTTTGTGATCCTCACCATAGCCCAAAAGCCCTTTTTTTCCAAGTGAGTTCAGCAATTTTCTGTTGATCAGTGAATGGTTATCCTTGAGGATGACCTTTGTTCTCTGTGCTGGACAGTTATCACTAAAAGAAAGTTTTAATTACACCTATTAAATAAGGTAATTAATAATTTTTAATCTTAAAATATATGTACATAAATCTTTTGCACAGCAGACTCTTAGTTTTCATTAATAAAAATGTCACCTTTTCATTATGAAAAATACCAGTATTTTATACTATTTAAAGAGCAATGTGGGTGATTTTAATTCAAACTACCATTGAAATCAGTGAGTTTAAATATTTAAAACATTCTTCTTACTCCTTACAAAGCACAACTTTGTGCCTCAGTTGTTTGTGCCTCTGCATATGTGAATCCCTTACCACTATATTTTATTTTTTTCTGTATTAGATTCTTCATCTGAAAAACAACCAGTGTAATGGTGGATTCCTGGTGTTATCCACAGGAATCAAGAAATCACACTGTCTCTGATTCTGTTCATTCTTTGTCAAGCAGATATTATTTTAAATTTCCGAACAACGTATGTTAGCAAGTCTGGCCAAGTCATATTTGAAGCAAGATCTATCTGTATCCACTACGTGACTACATGGTTTATCATTGATTTAATTGCTGCACTTCCTTTTGATCTTCTTTATGCTTTCAACGTCACTGTGGTAAGTACCTTGTCTTTTTTAAATTGTTTTTTTTTTTTTTTTCAAGAGGAGTTTGTTGGGGGATGAGTGGAGTTCCAGATCTGGAGAATGCAACTGAGTGAACTAAAATACCTTAGTGTTTTTTTCAGCTTCTTAGTGCATTTTCACACTGGATGCTGAATGAAGGAATACAATGTAATTGTACATGTTGATTAAAGGTATGACAAAATTGAGTGTCGAATTTGCTATTCATTGTCATGAAAGGCACATATCTTTTTTTTTTTTTTTTTAATTTAGTTATCCTTACTTTGAAAACAATTGGACCTCTGTTAACTTCCTCTTTATTTATTGTACTCAAATACAATTCACTATGGCTTTTGCTCTTACACTGAATAAATTCAATGCTTAATTTTTCATGACCTATAAACTGTTGCTGTAGTAAAATAATTATGTTTAGCAGGGTCAGCATACATTAGCCAGCTAGGAGTGTTTTTTCTCTTTACCTCTAGTCATTCTCTCTGGGAAAAAATAAAACCAAACATAATTAATGTCTATTACACTTGTTAACTTTGGTTTTGGTCTTAACTCATCTTGTTTAGGACTATAATGACAAAATGCTTAAGCAGCTTTGAAAAATGTGTGCGTCTAACATCTCATGATGTCACAATCATAAGAAGTTACATATGTATTGGGTCAACTATGAGAAGACAAAAGTTTTTCTTCTGAGAGCCCTACCAGATTTAGTAGAGTAAGAATCTACTAAGCAAAAATATCTCAAACACCAAAATAAATCCCCTAACACACCCTCTCCCACCAGATCAGAAAATTTAATTTTGGAGAAAAAATACTGGCAGAGGCTTCTCAATTTTCTGAATTGTTCACATAAGGATTTAGGTTTTTAAGTTGTCTGCTTTCTAATTTTGATCCTTTATAAACAGATGCATTCAGTCTCATTTTCATTAAATGTGAGTTACAGACAAGTACACACATGATAGGATAGACAACAGAAAAAAAAAAAAAAAAAAACAACACAGGAAAACACTGTTCAGGAGGCCTCCTATTTAAGGTATCATGTTTGATTGTATCATTTAGTTCCATTTCCTTCAACATCCATGTATGCGTGGCACATACATGTCATCCTCCAGCTGGAGATTTGTGGGGTTAGAGTTCCTGAAAAAGCTGTGGAGTCTCTTGCCGTCTCAGTAGATATTTCAAAAGAAAAAATAGTGAAACTGTATGAGTTGACTCTACTGGCTTTATACCTTGCAGATATTCTGCACTGCCACAAAACTAGTGACTCTTTGGAGGTGTGAGACCTTATACACATTCCTGCCTAGTCTCAGTGCCTGCTGAGACCCCAGCTCCTTCCATCTTTGTGTTCATCTGACATAAAGAATCACTTAAGTTCTGGAAATATGGTGTGCAATGACGTTAAAGTGAAGAACGGGCCACTAAGCACTAGTTAGAAAGACTGAATTTGCTCCTCACAAGTATAATTTTTTTATTTTTAGGAAAACCAGCTAACCAAGCAGACAAAAAAGATTAAAGAACCCTGCCACGAGTAATTTTGTAAAATGTATCGTGTTTCCTTATTAATTCCTTTTTGCTGTAGGAGATGATTCTTCCAAGCAGAGAATTTCATCACTGGTTTGTAACAAATTTATTTCTCAGTACTTCTGAGCACTATGCTATGATTGAGCCTGTGTTAGTTTTAGATAAAACTCTGTGTCTGTCATTTTGACAGAAAAAGGTTAACCCAGCTAGTCTAAAACAATTAATCAAATGGAAAATTTAGATCAGTTTATATCTGTGGGCAAAGCAAAATCTACACAGGCACAAGTATGAGTGCTGACTCCTCATTTTGTCTTTCTAAATTTATGACATAGGAAAGAAAGCTGCTTGGTGGCATTTCAGGTCTTCCAATGATAGATTGGGCACAATACAAGAAGAGTGCTTGGCATGACTAATGAGAAAATTCGGTGCAATTGCATATGATTAATTACATCTCTCTTCAAACTTGTGCATAGATAATTTTGAAATTAGAGGGTCTTTAGGCCTTAAAATTAAACATACCCCCACATTAAAAAAAAAAAAATAAATCTACCTGATTCACTGTGCTTATGGCTACTAGTGTTCTGTAACCTAATACAACTAGTCAGAATTTACTCACAAGTGGTAACTGTCCGGGCACAATTATTATTGCAACAGTCCTCTTGAAAGTTCTTATTTGTAAGTATCTATTAAAATATAATTTCACCTAAGTTATCATAGTTTGTGATGTGTAGAACGTAATCATCCATGTACAGACAAAGACTCCAACATGAAGGCCATAGCACATATGCAGTCAGTATATACAATCATTATATATGTGTAGATATGTTACAACACCTTGAAGAGTCAGTCATAAACAAGGATCCCTTTATGTTAAGAGTGCAACAGAACCACATCTGGCTCAAGCAAGAGAGACAGAAGAAAAGGAGAATTTGGGAAATTAATTACCAGAGAAAAAGAAGCAGTTGATATAGTGGCATGATTGTCAACTAGAATAATTACATTTTAATAATTATGTGATTGTGTTAATAAAAACATGGCAATTCCTTCAATATATTTTACAGCCTTCTGCCCAGACTTGCAGATATTCTTGTGCTGAAGGACAGAGACAACTAATTTCACTGACTTATTTTAGATGACATAAGATGGATAAAAGAAATGCAAGAAGAAAAGACCTTGCAATTGTTTGTGTGCTCTTATGTCAAATCTTATACCTGACAGCAGCGAACTTCAAAGGATTGTAAATGAGTGTCATGTTTTTTCCTCTGCTATGTACATAAGGAAATATGTAAAGGTTCTTGAGAAAAAAAATAAATAATGTGTAATAAATGAAAAATCTTTTGGGAGAATTACCTATGCACTCTCAAAATTGTAGTGACAAAGTAAAAAGAATTACTGTAGATTTTTTATTTTCTTTTTTACAAGTTTCCCATCTGCTTAATGCCCAACACTGGAATAAAATCAATAAAATTGTTAAATCTTCATTACTAAATCTATAATATCCCACATTATAGAACTTATCAGTCACCCTGGACCTAGCTGTGAATGAAAACACACCTATAAAATTAAGATTTTAGATTATTAGTTTTGGTTACAGAAACAGAAAGGCTTAGGAAAAGGAAAAGAATGTTGATCAAGCTGAGCTTTTAGACTTTGTTTTCAGAGAGCTCATTAGAGTGCTCTGGGAAAGCTGTGGCAAGACATGTCAAGTTTGATGTGTTATTTTTCTAGCTGATGCATGTATCCTCTATCAGCCACATACCTAACAGGCATTAATCCTAATGTCTCATTATTTAAGGGGGAAGAAAAAAAAAACAACTTGCTGTTAATGAAAATTATGCCTATTTAATCTTTAAAAAATCGAATTAAAGTATTTGGGATCCTAATCTGTATAGTGTTTGCTAACTCTGCCCAGTAGCTGAAACAAGAGCTAAGTACATTCCATACAAAATGAGGAGCTGTGTGCACTCTGGTGTGCATGCAGGTTGGAGAATCCTCTGGAGGCGATGGAGTCATCCAGAGACTGCTCACTTTGTGCATCGCTACGTCTCCTCTGAAGCCAGAGCCCATATACTTTGTAAACTGATACACTCTTAGGGTGCTAAACAGATTAGCTAATGCTTTTGCAACATGCACTTGAAAGGTAATAATATTTTCTGCAAGGAACTTAAGAGGTAGTATTATAAGTTTTAACATGAGCTTTTTTTTTGGACTCAGCTTGGTACAGAGCAGTAAAATATGCACAGGCCCCTGAACAGAGATTTAAATCTCAAGAACAAATCTGAGTCTCTGATCCCTTTTCTGCTTCCTTGTTCTGCAAAATATCTGCTATATGTTATTGCCTCTTCCAGAATTAATTATTAAGCTGGTTTCATTTCATACATAGTTGAGTCAGGCCTACTCTTTGGCTGTTAAAAAAAGTCTGAAAATCATGCTGTGCTTGAAAATGTTAACTTTGTAGTTTCGTATTGGAATCAAATGAACATGGGCCAGTTTGACAATCATGCTTCTCTTCTTGAGCAGTGAAGGATCATTGTTGCACAAACACAAATTCAGTTAAAGTTAAATCTGAAAGAAGACTTTGCATTAACAAAAAAAAAAAAAAAAAGGTGAAATGAAAGATCTCCCAGTTCTTCAAGTTTCTTTGGTTTAGATCAGAAGTAGTGTATATATATGTACACGTTATAGTGTGTATACATATACATATATAGTATAGTGTTTATATATATATATATATATCAGTACACAGTAAAGAGTTGGCAGGGGGTTTAACCGTCTTCTTTGTTATTCTCTGCTGTTGTAAGATGGTTGCCCTTCATTGAAGCAAGAGAGCTGTGTGACAGAAATCAACTGCTGACGAGTTGTTTTCTTTCTCTGTTCTTCCAGGTTTCACTTGTCCATCTCCTAAAGACAGTGCGATTGCTGCGCCTCTTGCGTCTCCTTCAGAAGCTGGATCGTTACTCCCAGCACAGCACAATTGTTCTTACACTTCTCATGTCCATGTTTGCCTTGCTTGCTCACTGGATGGCCTGCATTTGGTATGTCATAGGGAAAAGGGAGATGGAACAGAATAACCCCCTTACCTGGGACATAGGTAAGTTCTTTGTTCTGCCATACACGTATATATGTACAGATGTCTGTATATATACATATATATGTATGTAAATATGTAAAACCACATGTCTAAGTCACTCAATATTTCCTTTTTTGTTTAATCTTATACAATGTGTTTTACTTAGTGCTGTTTGCAGAGTAAAGGAATTGATTTGTGCTCTGAATTTCAGGTCCATCTGAAAAAGGTTTAAAATGAAAAGAAAATTTGAAGAGTAGAAAAAAAGATTTTTAAATGTTTCAGTGTTTGGGGAATTAAGGATCTGTTTGAGAAAGGACTAGATAGACTGTGTAGAACAGTAGATGAGAAAGTTCATCCTGGTTTTGCAAATTAGGCAAATTCTTCAACAGAGGCATTCCCTGGAGTGTGCTGATTATTCCTTACTACACACTGAAACAGATAGGCTCTGAAATGCCTTCAAGTCAAAAACTCCCTTTGGAAATATTGTCTAGCTTGTTTGCAGGGTTTGCTCTTTGGCATAGCAAAGTGTTTAACAGTGGAGGGATGGGTTTGGAATGCTTAGTTGTGATCCGAAGTTTAGTTTCCACACCAGCATTCATTGTAATTTCACTGAGTGTTCCAGATTGACTTTTTAGATTTTAAAGTTTTCCTTTTTTGCTAAGGCTTATTATTATTTCTCGGAGTTGTACCCATGTGTGATGGTATAATGGGAAAGCAATATACCTTGTATAGGAACATTACATCACCAGGTACTTGTACACTGTTGGAAGTCTGCAACCAACTTGTGCAATACCTGATTCTCTACATCTTTCCACGGGGGTCATTCCGGCTTTACTGTAGAAGTGATTTTTTTTTAATGCCTTTCTCGTATGCCATATGAGTATCAAGCATCCCTTTTTCTCCTTTTTTTTTTTTTTCTGGTCCTTGTGTTCTATCTTTTAATTCTACTTGTGTTTATATTTAGCCTAAAGCTATTACGTGTTCACTGAATCAGGAGAGAAAACAAGGCCAGTGATAAAATTAACTGAAAGGGGAAAGCTCTACTAGTTTTCTTTATGCTGTTAGATACTAAAGACAGGATTAAAAAGCAGAAGAATAATTTAGAATATGTAAGTTAACCGTAAAAGAATGCACATCTCTTTCATAAACTAAGAGTATCTAATAGTGAGACAGTTTTCCAACAGAAAAAATATTTGGTCGGTGGAATTACTTGCGACCAAAGATAGTGCCATGCATTCCAACTGCAGTATGCTCTATTCTCATCTGCTTTAATTTCTTTCTTCTTTCTTAAACCCTTTATAATCTATCTAAATATCACATAATAACAATAAGTCTGAAGGAAAAATGACAGGTATGTTAATGGTGCCTGACCTCAGATGAGGTGAGGATGCTGGGTCAGGAAACAGAAAAGAAGAAACTCCAGTAAATACAACGCTCCACTTTGTCCATAGGTTACTGAAAGCTTTGTGGAGTCTTTTTATTCTTCTAGGTGATTGTTTATTTCTCCTTCCTTTTGTAAACCAGGTCTGTGACCTGCTGCTGAACTCCTCATAGAGTGCAAACCCCTCAAAGAAAAGACTGCAGCTGTAGGGGAGAATATACAAAGAAAGCCCACTGTGCACAAATTGGTCAAATACTGCTAACAGAAAAACAAATCCAAATAATAATAATAATAATAAAAAGAAGAGTCTCTCAGGAAGGAAAGAGGTATGAAGACACATTGTAAGCTTATGTAGGCCACAAATGATAGCTGATTTCAAAGCATTCATTGCTATCCCAATGACGAAGATGGGCTGCATCCTGCCTCCCCAGGTGGGGCTGCTGGTCATGCTCCCCATGAAGCCTCTTCCTCTCCCTTTTCCCTGAACTGAGGCTACATTCAGGATATTCTCCTCATATCCCGTGGGGCTCTTGGCATTTATTGCTATGAAAACATTAACTTTCTCTTTTTGTCCTCTCTTGGGCAATGGCAGTAATAAACAAATGTCCCAACAACTTCATTAGAACAAATCCCAGTTTATCCAGAACAGAGCTATCTCACAGAAGTCCCATTTGCTTCTTGGTGAAGAGTGTTGTATCTGAGTTATCGTGTACTGATCATCTTTCAGCAGGCTTTCTAGGCAGGAATTGCTCCCAACAGTCTCTCAGCACTGGCTTGTCTCAACGCGAGACTTAGTGACCTTCCCTGGACTATTGCAGGCAATGCACCTCCTGGCTGGATGGGCTAAGCCACTTTTTAGTCAGGTGTACTCAGACTTCAGCGTCCTAGTTGGCAAAAGGGCTTTGCTGTTGAGCTTACAGCCTGATTTTGTTCAATTTTTTTTTTTTTTTTCAAAAAATGTGGGTTTGCATTTTTTTCTGGAAAGTAGTTCTGCCACCTTCATGGATAGTCTCCAAAATATTTAGATCTATAAATCTATAATAAAAATTATACCGCAATGAGTCCTGCAAAGTTCCTACAGATATTAGTTCTGTGTCTGTCAGAATGGTTATTTGAAAACTTATGTCTAGCACTAAGTTAAATATTTTACGGCTTTGGGGATTTGTCTGGGATTTTTTGTTTCTTTCTTTTTTTTTTTTTTTTAAGGGAAAAGATTTTAGAACGTTCAATTATTAGAAAGTGATTAAAAAAAAAAATCTCTGAAAACTCCAGATAGCTCTAATGAAGCCATTACTTTTTAAAAATAAAAGCTACATTTAAGCTCATGTCATATATATGAGCAGAAAAATAAGATCATGTAATTTTTTCAATCAGTGCAAATTCTATTGCTCTCCACATGCAAACTCCTGGCTGGTGAAACACAGTGAAGTTAAGTCTTGGCCCCCTATGTACTACAGTTTCTGCTACTCTGAAGATACACAGTGAATCATATGTAGCTAGGCTTTATTTTCACCTTAAGAAAACCTGAAATTTCTCTGACATCTCACAGCATCCATGTAGTCAATATATTGAGGGGAGAAGAGTAGGTATGATTTAGGGTATGAGTGATTAAGCAAAGTAAAATGATATCGTGAGATCATAATAAATCACAAACAAATAATACACACAGCAGAAATCTTGCTTGGGGTATGATAAAGGTAGTATTACTGTTAGACACTGAGGATATTCTGTTCTCATGTATGAAATCCTCAGCTGGAAATTTTTGTGCCATTTTGGAAAGCATGTAAGAGATTTCTTACTGCAGGAAAAGCAGTAGGAAATTATTCTTAGTCTTGTGTTTACAGCTTTTAATTTTTAAACTTTTACTGTTATTACATTAATACCAAAGCTGTAGACTCAAGTTTCCATTAATAGATCTTCCATAAAGTTCATTCCAAGTATTAGGAGGCTTTCTAATTCTCAGCATTAAAAAAACCACACCATAAAAAATAGAATTTTTATACTTTATTACTAAAAGAAATGTGTGTCCCCCTTGGAAAGTATGCTTTTCATTCTTCACTGAGTGTCTCAGGTGGTGTTCACCTGAAATATTGGTACCCTGGATACGGATGCTGCAGTGCATACAATAGCTGACATATATAATAATATAAGGACAGGTTTGTTCTAAGAAAGGAAAATCATGCCTGGAATAAAAAGGAGATTTCTTTGTTTTTTATGTTTGCTTCTATTTTGGGGGAGGGAGAGTCTGAGGGAGAAAAAAGCTTTTAGCAACCTCTTTACTCCATTTAGTGCTTCCTCAGGGAGCCTGAGGCACAGATTTTAAGACTGAGGTTTTGCTGATAATTAAAGCAAACATTTTAAAGCTGCAGTACTGTTAACATAATACGTTGGACCTTGCTGTGCCATCAGATATGCACCAGATCTCACAACATTGACTTTAGCGGCAGTAGCATTTGTTTCTGTGTATTTATTTCTCTGGTTAATTTAAACAAATGAGGTGTTTAATTTGCATTTGAACTGGGGCAATGGGAGTGATAAAATTCTCCCTATGAAAATACCAAGAACTTAAAAGTGTATTTGCTTTGTTCTTGGTGGGCCTAATTGTAAGCCTTTGTTTCATTTTTTTGTCCTTATTCAGGCAACATTCTCATTGCAAATACATTAAAAACATGGTTAAATTCACAAATTTTACCACATGGTTACACAATGAGAAAGATATACTGTCTGGGAATATTATTCAAGAACTGTTATGTCATGATGGCATAGGGAAAAACACCAGTGTAGTAAAAGGTTAAAATCTGGATCTCTTGCTTAGTTCTAATATCGTTATTTTAAGTGATTACATGAGGCATTTGGAAGACAGGCAGCATGGGCACTGTTTTCAGCTGCTACCTTTACCTCGGCAAGTGCTCCCATCTCAGGAAACAGTTCTTCCATGTGCAGCAGCTTGAATCTAACATCTGATTAAAAAAACAAGTCCTGAACTAGACATTCCCACCCACCTGAGCCAGTGGTACACTCCTTATCCTCTCTTTCTGGGCTTTTTCATATCCTCTCTTTCAAATTCCACCTTGTTTCCCTCATTTCTTCTCACTGGTGAAACAGATGTTTCCCTGAGACACAGTGTGATTTTCAGCAACCTGTTAAAATAAGATTAACTTTCTGTTAGCTGGCACAGAGTAGAGGATAGCCTGTGCTGAGATTCCTGGCTGATCCTAACACTTTCATTCCATTGTCTTCAATACATTGGCTCTCATTTCTATAGGTTTAACTGATACCAGATTTAGGCAGAGGTTCTTTATTTGCTGTCTGCTGTTTTGAATTATAGAATCATAGAATCCTTTAGGTTGGAAGAGCCCTTTAAGATCATCAAGTCCGACCATTAAGCCATTAGGGCTCTAAAGTCCTCTGCTAAAACAGATCAGAATCTGTCAGGGTTGGAAGGGACCACAAGGGTCACCCAGTTCCAACCCCTCTGCCGTGAGCAGGGACACCTCCCACTAGATCAGGCTGCCCAGAGCCTCATCCAGCCTGGCCTTAAAGACCCCCAGGGATGGGGCCTCAACCACCTCCCTGGGCAACCCATTCCAGGGTCTCACCACTCTCATGATGAAGAACTTCTTTCTCACATCCAGCCTGA